CTGAGTACGGACCGTCCGTTCTGGCTCACTAGACCGTCCGTTCCGTGGCTGAGAGTGGATCGTCCGTTCTGTTGTCATGGACCGTCCGTTCCACTAGTTCTCCGAGGCTAGACCATCCGTTCTAATTCCAGAACGGACGGTCCAAGTCCCAGTCTCCGAGATCTTTCCATTTTCTAATCCGATTATGCAATCGTTGCTTAATCTGATCAACTGTAACTCAAATAGCATGATTCATTCGTATGGATGGTCCATAGTGAATGAATGCATGCAACTTGATCAAAATATGGGATATGCTTGATTGAGTGAGAGCTTCGGGATTGGTATTACATAATCGAATGGATGGTCTATTCGGATTATGTACAATCCTTGCACAGAAACCGGTTAGATCTAGGAGCTCTATGAGTAAAGCACTTGTCAAGGCCTCGATCGTACGTGTCATGGGCCATGCCAAAGCTGGGTGTGTCGTGCTATCTTGGTGAGGCAAGATGGAGAAATGGTGGTTCTCATGGCTTGAAAGTAGATGCTTGATCTAAGTGTTGTTTTGAAAATCCCTTTTTCATGTAATGCTAAGTGTGTACCTCCCATTACTAGAGCGCCTGTCAAGGCATCGATCATCCGTATCACGGGTCATACCAATGTTGAGCGTGTCGGATTATCTTTGTGAGGTAGGGTGGAAAATCGTGGTTCCCACAGATTGAACATGGTTTACCTTAGGTTAAGTTGTCAAGTTTGACTTGAGACTTAATGGTACAGATGAGACGAGTATGCAATGATATTTGATATCATAGTCTCATAAAGGATCTAAGAGTCATATTGGATATGATTGACATTAGATGTCTACCTAAATAGCGTAAGCCTGAGTGTACCTAAATAGCGTAAGCCTGATTTTGTTAGAACCAGATCACGCACGTTACAGGATTTGAATCGTTTGAATCCGTGTTTGCTTTGATGCTATGCATGATTTGATTGTGGATCTAGAGTAGATTTTCTGTTCCTTGTTGCATAGTGTGCAAGAGGTTCGAGTTCTGAGCTCGCAGGCGAAAACGGGGTCGAATTCGGGTCTGAAACGGGGCAGAAACGACGAAAACAAGATCTGATCACGTTTTCGCCTGGACCGATCGGTCTGGTCCTCTGGACCGATCGGTCTAGGGATTCTCGATGTTGGTTGGACCGACGGATCTGGAGGCTCGGACCGAAAGGTTTGGACCGTTCCAGACCGATCATACCGAATTGCGTAGACCGATCGGTCTAGACTCTAGACCGATCGGTCCACGTCCCGAGGTAAGACCAAAATTTTGGATTTTCGTTTCGGCATTTGGTTTGAGCAATCGTTGCTTAACCCGATCAACTGTGATTCAGAATAGCATAATTCGTTCGTTTGGATAGTCCATAGTGAATGAATGCATGCAACTTAATCAAGATATTAGATATGCTTGATTGAGTGGGAGCTTCGGGATTAGGATTACATAATCGAATGGATGGTCTATTCTGATTATGTAATACATCTGATCAAGGAACAATGGTTGATCCTTGATTTGATTTGTACAATCGTTGCACAGAAACCGGTTAGATCTAGGAGCTCTACGAGTAAAGCACTTGTCAAGGCCTCGATCGTACGTGTCATGAGCCATGCCAAAGCTGGGTGTGTCGTGCTATCTTGGTGAGGTAAGATGGAGAAATGGTGGTTCTCATAGCTTGAAACTAGATGCTTGATCTAAGTGTGGTTTCGAAAATCCCTTTTATGTAATGCTAAGCGTGTACCTCCCATTATTAGAGCGCCTGTCAAGGCATCGATCGTCCGTAACACGGGTCATGCCAAAGCTGAGCGTGCCGGATTATCTTTGTGAGGCAGGGTGAAAAATCGTGGTTCCCACAGCTTCAATATGGTTTACCTTAGGTTAAGTTGTCGAGTTTGACTTGAGACTTAACGGTACAGATGAGACAAGTATGCAATGATATTTGATATCATAGTCTCATAAAGGATCTAAGAGTCACATTGGATGTGATTGACATTAGATATCTACCTAAATAGCGTAAGGATGAGTGTAACAATATACGGATCTTAGTCCCATATAGAAAATTATTGTAGGGTTATTTTTCTGTATGGGAATATAGCTTGTATATGCATCTATATTGTCGTTGATTGATGATGGACTAGCTGGTAGTGGATCATTGATGTATTGTCGTTGATTGATGATGGACTAGCTGGTAGTAGATCATTGATAGAATCTGCATATTGTTTTGCTTTCGTTATGTTTTGTCTTTTTCTGTAGGGCATAGCGTCGACCGGTATTGTACCGAAGTTGACGATGCGATCTATCCCTATGAAGGATAAGCCTCTGACCACGGCTTCTAGATCAATCATTGATGCTTATTGGAAGCATGTGGATGATGATCTGGACAAGTCTAGCTTGACGTTTGGAAACATGGCTTCAGAATTGCGTAAGCGATTAGAGAACATGGACGATTCTTTGATAATTGATCAGTTGAATGTGTCATTCCAAAAGAAAGCTGAGAGCCACGGGAAGATTCCAGCAAAAGGAAGCATTCCAAGAGCAAGGACAAGAGGAAAATGACAAGCGTTGTCATTGAACCTAAGCCTAAGTCCAAAAAGGAAGAGTGTTATTTCTGTCATGTCGTTGGACATTGGTAAGAAATTGTAGGCTCTACCTGGAAGATCAGGAGAAGAAGAACCTTAAAGAAGCTTCTGTTGGTTGTAATGCTCTAGGATGATCCGTGATATGACATTTGACTTTGTATTGATTCATTGATTTTATGAATGCATTACTTTTTCCGTTATACGATTGGCATGTTTGTTGTATTTCGGCATCCTTAGATCATTAGAGAATGATTCTAAACTCCCTGGTCAGTTATCGTTGTGGGAACAATGATGAATTAAGACTAGCATGAGGTGTGATCGATGCATTGGATGTAGATCACAATCATGGGTACTCGTTGAGAACGAGTGACTGGATGACCCACATGAGATTGTCAGATGGACATAGTCATGACTTGAATCTCATACAGTGGTTCGTTCTTAGATCCTCATACCTGAGATATCTAGAGTATCTGATATGAGGAGTGGCGTGTCTTGACTACGTCAAACGTCGTCTTTAACCAGATGATTATAACGACGTTGATCAGATACGTTCACGAATCATATGGAGATAGTAGACATGCAATATGAGACTTGTCACCTCCTTACCAGGAGAGATATCGTTGGGCCCTCTCGTGGAAATCGGACTATGAAAAACGTGTGGTCATGCTATAGATGAAGTTGCATCTATTTTATTAATCGATTTGCCAAGGTGAGAAAGCGGTTGAACTTGAAGGGTGACTCAAACCATGTCCTTGTTCAACTTATGATATCATGAGACAAAGGATCAGAATTCAAGCTGTTAATGCCTTGGTTAGATCACCTCTAACTCAATTCTAAATGGGTGGTCATGGCGTCTTGCTAGAGGCTAACTATGACTTGTGGTTCGGGAAAGGTTCTGAAGTCACTACCACTTAGAATGGGCCTACAGGGTCACACACCACTAGGGATGGACTTATACGTGAAGAATCCGAAGAATGGAAATGAGAATTTCACCGAAACGAGCACGAAAAGGATTTTCAGTGTGTTGGTCCGGAGCTGACCAAGTTTGGTCAGCCCCGAACCAAGTTGGTCAGCCGAGGAGGTTCGGAAGTTCGGTCCGAGGTCATCTGTCCAGGTCTGGTCCGACTGACCAAGAGTTGGTCAGCCCCGGACCAGACGCTGGGTCAGGCGGACCGAGGACCGAAGACCGGTGGACCGGAAAAAGGAACCAAGAGGTTTGGTCCGGAGCTGACCAAAAGTTGGTCAGTCGGACCAAACCTCCAGGTCAGGCGGTCCGAAGGGAGCTGAGCAAGCTTGGTCTGCCGGACCAAGCTCTTGGTCCGGCGGACCGGGATCTGGGAAATTTTTCAAAATTCGGATTTAGGGGTTTCTAAGCTTATTTAAGTTTGGGATTTCATCCAAACTTAATTAAGGCTGCCCTAAAACTCAGAGAGACTTCTAAGAACACTAGAGAATTCATTCTTTTGGTTTTTGAGCTTCTCGGGATTAGATTCGGTCTCTCGAGTTATCCTTTTCTTCACTAATCCTAGCAGATATGTTCCAAATCGTTTGGAATCCTTCCCGTCGGTGTGGATACGTGTAGAGGGACTTTAACTTCAGTCCTAGGTGATTAAGAAAAGGCCCCGGATCGAATTTTGCTTCAAGTTTCATCGAGAACGAGGTAAGTAACGATTCCCTCGGTGATATACACTTTCTTTCGGGTTTTGCAAGTTTGGTTGCGTGTGACGTTTGACTAGGTTTAGATCTTTCTTCCGCTGCATGAAATCAAGTAAACCAAACCTTAGATCGATATGATCGCATGCTAGAAACCGTAGATTACCCAACAGTGGTATCAGAGCCTGGTTCTCTGTATATCGTCGTGCTTGTTGTATGATTGCATGATTTAATTGTTAAATTGCATGTAATCATTGAATCTATGCATGTTTAATGATATTTGTGATTGTTGAATGATGCATGGATTGTATGTAGTCTGGGACGGGTTAACGGTGTGACGAAACGGGGGTGAAACCCTAATTTTCGAAACTCGAAAAATCTGTTCCGAATTTGATCTGTCCACGGTCAGCCGGACTAAGTGTTGGTCAGCCGGACCATCAGACAGATCAGACTCCGGACCACGTTTTTGGTCAGCTCGGAGAGGAAACAGACTGACTTGGTCCGGAGCTGACCAAGTGATGTACGCACGGAGGAGGATGGGCAGGAGGTTCAACCGCAATCACCGGCTCACGGTGAGTGGCTCTCGAATTCATGGATGAACGGGGAATAATCGAAGTGGGTTTACGGGGAAACGATTTCGATCACCGGCTCACGGGGATGGCTCTCGAATTCGGAATCGTTCTAAGGAGATGGAGATGAACGAAGGCCTCCTCGGACAGACCAAGGAGAAGAGTCGGACACACCGAGCTCAAGGATGACCGGCGGACACACCGAGCTCTCGGATATAACCCTTACTTAGTAGCTCTTGGACTTGTTTTTCGAGCTCTTTAGTCTCTTCGGGGTTCATCCGGTACGCGGGTCGGTTTGACAAAGGTGCTCCTGGCACTAGATCGATCTGATGTTCGATCCCGCGTATAGGTGGTAGTCCCGTCGGAATTTCATCCGGAAATACATCGCTATAGCGCTCCAGGAGCCGGCTAATAGCGGGACTAAGGGTCGGTGTCTCCGTACGGAGGCTCAATTGGTCCTTGAAAACCAAGAGCAACACCGGCTGTTCTTGGCGAACAGCACGCATCACCTGACTAGCTTTAACATAAAAGTTCCCTTTCTTTGGTTCAGGTTCTTTGGCTAGTTTGAGTTGCATCTCGTGAACTTGAGATGGACTTAGAGGTGCGAGCACAATTTTTCGCTTGTCATGTATGAAAGAGTACTGATTGGCTCGACCATCGTGTTTCACTTCCCGATCAAATTGCCAAGGCCGTCCTAAAAGAATATGGCCGCCTTGCATAGGGACGATGTCACAGAGAACCTCGTCTCGGTATGACGTGTGAGACGGGATAACAGCAAGCAACACGTTTCAACAGCGTACAACGGGATGCACCAACCAAACAGACAGCAACCTCGCAATGGGATCGTGCAAGCAAGACGAACAACCCTAAAAGAATATGGCCGCCTTGCATAGGGACGATGTCACAGAGAACCTCGTCTCGGTATTTTCCTATACTGAACGGGATTTTGACCCTTTCGGTCACTTTAATCTCTCCGCTGTTATTAAGCCATTGCAGCTTATATGGATGCGGATGTTTCTTAGTGGGTAGGTCTAACTTCTTTACCATGTACGCGCTCGCTACATTCGTGCACGATCCACTATCGACGATCATCCCACAAACTTTTCCGTGTATAGTACAACGGGTGTGGAAGATGGTCTCTCGTTGGGCTGTTTCGTCCGGAGTTACTAACGTGCTAAGTACTCGTCGAGTGACAAGTAACTCGCCGCTATCCGGGTACTCGATCTCCGCGTCGGAACCGACAGCCTCGTCCTCGTCTAAGGACTCATATTCCCCTTTGTCCGTAATGATCATTACACGGGAATTCGGACAGTCCTTGGCCATATGTGTCCGAGTGTCTTTGGTAAGTTCGGGCTGGGGTTTCGGGTTAGAAGTTTCCGGACTCTTTCCTTTGTCCCGGTAACTGGGTATGGTTCGGCTCTCGGGGACCTGTCTCCTAAAAGGTGTCGGCTTAGATGGAGTACTAGAGATTCCTGGCGCATAAGTCCGGGGTTTTCCTAGCCTAGAAGACTTACATCTCTCTTGTTGTTCGATTTGCACGGCTAGGTGCACGAGATCCTGAAGGTCTCGGTACGGATGGCGCTCAGCTTTGCGGCCGATCTTATCCTGCAGTCCGTCTACGAACTGGGCCATAACCGTTTCTTCGTCCTC